ACTGACTAGGAATTTCACTCGTAGTTAAAGGGCATGTTGAGGGGCTATATGAGCCCTTAACGGTATTATTACGAAGACAAGTCAAAAGAAACACCTGACTGCTGATGCTTGAATCTGTTCCTTGTTTTAAAATGATGCAAGTCCATTCCAGCTCAGAACATTTTCCCTAAGGTATATGTACATTGAAGAGCCAAGCCATCCAGATTCTTAGTAACTAGGAACCAGGCGTCTGCATCTGCAATCAAGTTGAGTTTTTGGAGGGAAGGAAGGGGGTCCCTGTGATAGTTGAATCAATCATGTATACCCCTAATATACCATTAACTTAATTACAAGCTTACACTGATAATACAGAGCAAGTCTCTCAGTGAAGTCTTTACTGCCATTATAGCAGTTTAAGCCCCTAACGTTATCATCATCCTTCTAGACTCTAGAGACAAGGTTGGTCAGGCTTAGAAAAGGGAGGTGATTTGTCCAAGCTCACACAGCAGCAAGTCAATGACACAACAGCAAGGAGTGCCCATGTCTCTTATTTTCCAGGTTGACACCCTGAATACTGGACCTCCCGCACCTTCATGCTCCTGAAAGCACCCGATTGCTCCTCACCCAGCACATCTCTTTTAACTACACACTGTGAACTTCGTCAGTTATGCCAGGGGCAGAGAGTATCTGTGTAAAAGAGGAAAATGAATCATCTTATAATGAATTGACCTTGAGGCTACTGTTACTGCAATTACATTCTCCCACTCTAGGCTTAACACTGGGAGTCCTTTCCCCAGCTGTGCTCAACAGGCTGTGCTGTAGCAGCACCAGGTAACAGCCATTGCTGTCTGACAGCAAAGAGCGTGCATCAAGCCTCACACAGTTCTTTGCTTCCATTTGTTTAGGCATAGTTAATCAGTACCTTTTCCCACCTACTTACCCTACTCTGCAACACAATCCCATGCATCCTGATTCAGATCAAAACTTATAACTATTCCTGGGGCTTGCCTTTATTAATATGGCTTATTTTAATGTACTAAAAAAAATCACCATCTATTAAAGTCAGATTTAGCACCTACAATGACAGACATTGCCACTGACTTTTAAGATTTGCTTTCCTTGGTTGAACTTGAGAATAAATTTTTTTCAGAAATAATACATACCCTGATAACAGTGATATCAATAGGGAGGTTTGCTACTGACATCAAGAAGGGGTTACCTAAATACTACACGCAGCTACATAGATGCAATTCTTATCAAAGACAGCAGAATTTTGCCTGTTTTCATTTAAAGGCTGATATCTGCTTGCCAGATATGTGCTTTCTCCACAGTCCTTCTGTTTTTACTTACATATTCATGATTTCCCATTACATAGCTTCAGTGTTTCTTTTATTCGTGGCATGGGGTTATTTTGCTTTAAATCCTACATTAGCTTTGCAACATCTCACTGCAATTTAGTGAGAAGGATAAAAGGAGAGAGGAAGAAGGGCTTATGGCAATCTTCTTTTTACTATATCAACAGTTTTCCCAGTTGCAGAACAGTAAAGTCGGTGTGTAATCCTTAAAGTAGAGATGAAAGAAACCCACGGTGGTAGGTACTAACATCCATTCTTTTGCCAAGGAAAGGTTATTCCCTATGGTAACTTTCCTACAGTGCTTGTGCTTCTTCAGAGACTGGGGTTGTATCAGTTTCCTTAGGAGACTCTTCCAGGTGCACATAGGTCTCACATTTCCCATATCATCCACCCAGAAAAGTTGGAGTGAGAGAGTAGATAAAAGGTGGCCCAGCACCACAGGGATTAAAGAAAGCCTTTGGATCCAGTTAGCTCCACTCTGTTTTATCTGTAGCCACTGCCAGGCCTGAAAGGGGGAGAAAATGAAGGAGCCTGGCTCAGTTTGGGGCTGACTAGAGAGGAGGCAGGAGCTTAGCCCAGACAGCAGCCTGACAGTCCAACAGATACAGGAAGGAGTAAGCCCCCACTTCTACCCCTCTTGGCAGAAGAAGAGGGGGACCTATGGAAAAAAAACCCAACCAAAGGAAATCTGCACTCCTGGGGCCATGTCCCAAACTTAAGGACTTGGGTAAGGAATGGTCAGGGGCTGCTGGGCCAGGAACAAAGGGGGACAGTTGCCCCCCACCCACACATACTTTCCTCCCGACCTACTCAACAATCTAGCCATTAGGCTACCCAACCCCACAGGGACCTATCCACAGTAGGATTAAATTCAGTGAGCGGAATATGAGAATTTTCCTGGGCACCTGACTCCTATCATGGATTTTCTTGAATAATAGATGCAGGTATCTATAAGCTTCTCAGGGCAGGGACTGTGTGTACTTTGGTAACTTTTGTAGGACATAGAATGCAGTTAAAATGAATGAGACAATTGAAACTGAATGCTTTTGTTATGACTTAAGTGCAGTAGCACTTAGAGGCTACAGCCAATTTCACATCCACATTCTATGCTATACAAACACAGAGTGAGCCCTAAGGAGCCTGCATTCGGAACAGATAAGACAAAGGGTGGCCAAGGAAGCAGCGGTAGGAAATTTATTTAGCAGCAGTCACACAGCCTGTCAGCAGCAGAGCCCAGAATAGAATGCAGAGTTACTTTCACCCAATCCCCTATCTACTAGACCATGCTGCCTTCCTAACTAACTGTTAGTTATTGTACCCTGTTTCCTCACTGGTCACATGTTTTTATCACAGAAGGAAAAATACTCATGAAGTGCAAGCGCAGTCAGGAAGTCCCTCTTGCAGTGATATTAAGGCAGTTCAGAACACTCAGGCTATGTCTACATTGGCCTCTGTGGGGGATTTAAATATCCCCTGTGGGATTTGCATTTTCATGGCTGCCGCTTTTTTCCGGCTTGTAGATAAGCCGGAAAAAAGTGCCAGTCTGGACACGATCCTCCGGAAAATAAGCTCTTTTCCGGAGGATCTCTTATTCCTACTTTCCTCTTATTTTCCGGAGGATCGCGTCCAGACTGGCGCTTTTCTCCAGCTTATCTACAAGCCGGAAAAAAGCGGCAGCCATGAAAATGCAAATCCCACAGGGGATATTTAAATCCCCCACAGATTTGCCTATTCCAAAGTGCTACATTTGCATCCCTATTACGGAATAGGGGCCAATGTAGACACAGCCTGTGTGCCTTGTGATTTTTGGCCATAGGAATAAATATGTATATTAGTGTCTATCCTAATATTGATCATTAGTAACCGGGAGTTGTAAATGGTTCCAGTTCATGCAGCAAATTCTATTTGCTTCTTCAATTACATTAGATAAAATAATATGAGGGTTTTATTTCTACCTGGACAACAAATCCTCAATGTGCCAATTCTAAATGACATCCATTTTCCCCACTGATACCTTTCAGTGATGACCTTTGAGCTCTTGAATCTGTTTTCTCTCCCTGTCCTCACACACTATTTCAGTTTTTTTTGCCCACTTTAAAATGAGTATTTCAGTTTATCAATTCTTAATTCTCTTCTTAGGAGTTATTTTTGTCTTAATATCATCTAGCCATAAAGGTGCTACTACAGAGAGGAAACACACATGCATATTAACAGCAGCGGTGCCCTCATCCTTTCACCTAAATTGCATACGCAGTTTAGTGTGCACAAATGGCTAATGAACCAATCAGCACAAGAACACATTTCAAATTAGGATTTTAATAGATAAGCATTAGATACAGGCTTATCCTATAATTATGCAGCTGGAAAAATTGAATATTATGAAACCTTTGCTTTTCTTTTGCTGTAGCCTTTTGCAGTGGGCTCTTTATTTAAATGTCTGGTGCTTACTAATTGCATTTGGCAGGCAGGACTTTCAATTAGCGTTACCTACTAGAGTGGCTTTCAATAAGGAGGCAGGAATCAGTGCTCTGGGGACAATGTGACAAGTGGGTATATTACAGATTATGTACCGTGGGTCTACAACCCTTGGGAACTCTGTGACTTTTCCTAGTACATTTTTGGCATTCGTTTATCTAATCCATTTATGTAATCCAACAACTGTGTCCCCCTGTCACTACTGTACCTCAGTGCCTCATCGGCATTTAAATATAGAAACACCAGTCGAGAATAATCACGTGTGTAGCACTACAATTTCTTTACTAGTTGCAGCTCTTTGATGTTGATGGTATCCAGTGGATTCTAAATTACTGGTGTTCTTGTCCAAAAGATCTGGAACTCAATGTGGTGTAAACTTGTACATCAGATCTGCACAACATGAAGAATTCCTGCCTGGCTCCTTCTGCCAAAGAGTGGATGCTCTGAAGTACAGAATTCAATTATCCTTAGCTTGCAACAACTATGAATGTAACCACTGAAAACAGTACTAGGTGTATCCTACCCAGCTATACTGAAGGGATCCATGGAATATCCTTTAAGCCTGCAGTTTCAAAAGCACCCACACAGAACTATAACAGATTTTTGTTTCTCATGCATCTGACAAAGTAGGTCTTTGCCCACAAAAGCTTATGCTCTAATTAATCTGTTAGACTATAAGGACTTCTCGTTGTTTTTGCAAACTTCATAAGAATTATGTTGATAAGTTTTCTATATTTGGATACTGAATCAAATCCAAGAAGTTCTCAGAGATATTGAAAAGACAGAGAATGGGAGGGGGAGTAGCAAAGAATTGACCCAAATCCCTTACTCACTGGAAACCATAGCTAAGTCAGCCTGGGTAAGGTGTAATTTACTTCTGGTATAGGCAAGTGTTAAATACTTACCTCCTAAGATCAAATAAGAAAAGGAGGAGGAACTGGAAGTCAGGTGTGAGTTACCCCATTACACCACTGCTTGTCCAGGGCACTCTTGTGCTCTGAGAATAGGTTGGGCATCATCAAAACCTTTTGGTTCACAAAGGCAGGCACACAGATACAAAACACATTGTTGTTCCATTCAGACCATGGGAGTCAAGAAATAAACAAATGTTTCAAATGGCTACTGTCTCCTCTTATGTACAGATAACGAACATATGAGCCAAACACATGAGAAAACACCCACTTATGGAAGTGTCATCAGGCTTTTATTTAACAGGCTATAGTTCCACCCAGTATCTAACAAGACATACATTCTTTCAAAACAGAAATAAAGTAGTGGTCAGATAAATAAACTTACAATAACTTTCAGTGGCTTTTTCCCATCTGGAGGCATTGGGGCAGAAAATAAAGCAAAATATATCATGATGGACATTCTCCCTGAATACTGCCTAGAATATTGTAACAGTCTGATCACTAACAAGTCTCCAGTATTAGAGTTTCCTTATAATTAAGGTCGAAGTGGGTAAGATAGGGTCTGCACACTGAATCTGGCCCACCCAGCCAGTTGATCCAGCCCATGGCTGCCCTACCAGACTAATCGCAACCTGGAGGCTGGGGAGCGCACAGAGTCTCCTCCCCCCACCAGCTGGCAGATCTCTCTAGGCACCACACGCCCCTGGCAAGGCAGGGGCAGGGAGTGAGAGACTTTGCATGCTCCCCCGCCCTCAGGCCAATAAGGCCATTTCATTATAAATGTCTTTGTAAACACACCAAAACAGAAGGCTCTACCTAAAATGGCCAACATCCCTGTCTGTCTAAGCCAGAAAAATACAAAACCCACACCACTGATTTCTATTTCTGTATATAGTACTCCTGAATGCTTCCGCCTTCTTCCTGCCAGTCTTGCCATCCCTCATGCTTGTATCCTGTGAGATTTTCCTCAGCTCCCGGAGTCCCATGACTACATGAGAATCTCAGCTTTTATTTTGAACAGTAAGTTCCTAGCCCACCTTGCTGCAGAGAAAAATTTGAAAACAAGACCCCCTCCCCGCAAGGCAAATAAAAAGACATTAATTGTTTTCAAACCTCATGATTTTTCACACACACTCTCTCCCCAAGCAACAAATCTGGGCAGTTCAACTTAGGAATTTTGAATGCTTAGGGTTGGCAACACTGCAAACATCTCCCCTGCTCCAGTCAGCTTTTCTACCACTACTGTCTGCATGAGTAGCGAAGCGGTCCAAATTTCTGATAAAAATCATCTTCAGCGCGAACCAGAGCTTCCTCATCTATGTAGACAGCGGGTCTCCTGGAAGCCACAAAGTATTGCACTTTCCTCAGATTCCATCCCATCACATACTTTAGCCAGCCACAGATAGCGGCGGTGGCCCTGCCGACACCAGCATTGCAATGCACATAGACGACATGACCATTCTCTAGTAGCCCGTGCAGGAGACAGACAGCCTGAGGTAACATCTGTATTCTTCCTAGGATTAAAAACAGGGCATGTTCCCATGAACTCAAGGAAGGAAGGATCACTGTTAAATATATATCTCTGTATTCTGCTGCACTGTGAAATCATAGTGGCAGGCAAAGAGAAATCTATTAAAGCTAGTTTCTCTTCTCTCTCCGTGCATTCAGGGCCCCGTGCTGCCCAGCTCCCCGCCCCATCCACCCAGACGGGAACCACATGGCCATGCAGCTCAGCATGCTGCCTTGGGTCCCCTGCACACTCTTTGGCTGGGCCTGTCTGCACTGTCAGAAATTAAGTACTTTTTGCACAGGGTAGGGCCTGAGATTTCCAAAAGTCCACAATACGATGCCTTAAAGAGGCTCAGTTTTAAAAGGGTGGGAGCAAAGCACCTCCTAAAAATTAGGCCCTGTCTCTGGTTAGGCACACAAAATCCACAATCTTTGTTGAAAATCATGGCCAATCTGTGAAACTAACAGTGTCAGTTTTCTCAAATCATTTCCAACCCTCACATTTCCTAAGTATTAGGCCCAGGTAATACAAAAGTACATATAACTTGGACCTAGGACTTCTTTGGTAACAAATGATGTTATGCACAAAATGTGTGTAATGAAACAGTGGTTCTCAACCTTACCAGATTCCTGTATCCTTTTAAGGAGTCTGATTTGTCTTGCATACCCCAAATTTCATTTCACTTAAAAATTACTTGCTTATGAAACTAGGGTTCACAGGTGTCTGGTTTTTGACTGGAATGCACTGTTGGAAAGGGACCCTGGTGACTCCAATCAGCACCACTGACTGGGTTAAGAGTCCAGTTGTCAGTGCAGTAGTGCTAGGGCAGTCTCCCTGCCTGCTTTGGCTCACCATGGCTCCTGGAAGCAGCAGCATGTCACTCCTCCAGCTCCTATGGGTAAGTCTAGACTACATATTTTTGAAGGAGATATTCAAATTGGATGCTAATTTGCATATCTTCTTCTGATTGCTTTTTCAAAAGTGGGTTTTTTGAAAGTGAAATAGTCTGGATGTGGGGGTTTTTTCGGAAAACATGTCCAGAAAACTTTCACTTTCAAAAAAACCGCTTTCAAAAACGCAATCAGAAGATATGCAAATTAGCACCAAATTTGCATATCTCCTTTTGGAAAAAAAATAGTCTAGATGTACCCTAAGTGTAGGGGAAGCCAGGGTTTCCAGCTCCCACTGACCAGTAACAATGGCGGTACTTCAAAATGATTATGTAACAATACAGCAGCTCAGTAGTGGCACATGACTGCAAAAGGGAGAGTTGTGTTGTGAGGGAGCCAAAGTAGGTTACCTAGCACTGCCTCTTTGGTTAAAACCAGAATTATAGCAATTTCAGAATGCTGATGTGTAAGCCAATGACCATCAACCTGCTACATTTGCATTCTCACTAAATTAATGCTGAAAGAAAAGGTTTTCAAGCAGTCACCAATTTTTGGAGGGAATAGAGATATCCTGAGAGAGGAAGATCTGTATCAGAAATAGTTTGAATGAGTTCTGTGTATGACAAAGGGTACTGAATCCATTAGGAGCAACACCACAAAGTTACCACTTACTATAGGTATGTCTACATTGCACAGCTATTTCGGGATACAGGAAGTATTCCGAAATAGCTACTCTATGTCTACACAAGCTGCCCATTGTTTCAAAATATTTTTCAAAATAATGGACATGCTATTTCACCATCCTGGCAAACCTCGTTGTACGAGGGATAAAGGATGGCTTGAAATAGCACCTTATTTCGAAATTTGGCACAGTGCAGATGTGCCAAATTTCAAAATAAGCTATTTCAAACTAGTTTCAAACTAAGATACACAAATTTGCACTACACAAATGGTGTATCTTATTTCAAGTTTAGGCTGCTTTGTGGACGAACCCTATAATAAAAAACTAAAGCTATTCAGGAAAAAACACTTTAAAATAATGTAGTCACATCACTGAAAGGTTTATTACTTATCCAGTTGTAAGACACATTTGAATATTACCTTCAGTGCTCATGTCTGGGGTTGGCATCCAGACATAAGCAAGACCTTCCTCTTTATACAGTTTCATAAGGATCTCTGGGCTCATGGGTTCTGGATAGCGGTTGCAGCCCCAGGAATTCTGAATGACATCCCACTCGGTCTGGAAGTTCATTACAGCTGTAACACCCAATTCTTGTTTTAGCTTGATAGTCACATGCTCCACTTGCCGAGGACAGCTTCCCAGCCAGATGTTTGGCAGAATCCTAGCGTTGAAACACAAAAACTTAGCAGAGCTCATTAAGTACTTGCAGCAAAGGAACTCACCCACCCCTGCACAAAACTCACACATTCTGTCAGATTAAAAGGCACGCTGGTTCTAACATACTTGGATAACATCAGCATATGAGATGCACTGTTAAACACACCCGTTTCATATCACATACTTCTTGTTTCAATACAATTTAACCAGTAAAATGTTTAAAATGCTGCATAGTTTGGACCTCCCTGGTCCGGCATCCTTAGGACCTGAGCAGTCCTGACAAGGGAGTTTGCAGGACCAAGGGAGGTCAGGCCTAGGCTTCTCATGGGATTCCCCTACTGGCCATGGCCCCAACCAGTGCATTGCCCCCAGACTGCCTGCTGGGCTCTGCTGCCCCCCAGCCTGCTGGGAGGGCTCTGCTCTCTAGTCACCAGTGGCACTCCTTGCCCTCAGCCAGTGAGACTTCTCTCCAGCTGCTGGCCTCACTCCGGCCAACAGGGCTCCGTGCCACCAGCCGCTGATGAGGCTCCCTGGCCCCTCCCACCAGGGGACTTTGGGCTAGGATCCATGCCCCAGGCCACTGGGCCTGAGAGTTGCCAGCCATGGGCAACTTCCACGGCTGGGGTTCTCTGGTCCACAAAGGTTCAATCTGTATTTTAAGAACCAAACTGTAAACTCAGCACACATGGCTAAACTCACTTTGCCTGTGTAGACTGGAGCCCCAGCAAAACCATGGCATAATTAGTAGCACAAGTCTCTGAGGCACTAGTCATTCACTGCTACAGCTGAAGCCTATTAGCAGCACTGATGAGGATAGGGAAACCCAGAAGACTCACACAATCTCTGTGCAGAAAGAGACTCACAAAACTCAAATGTGGAATGTTACCGTACAAAATATAAGCCATATAACACTTGCTGTTTTATAGCTAGTACTATCGCCGTGGGCAAATCAGATCTGGGTGAGCCACCATCAGCCTAAACCATACTTTCTGTGGTCAAAAGAGTCTGGAATACTTCTTCCCTGCCTGCCTATGCAATATCTGGAGTTCAGCCAGAACCAGTTTCAGAAATATGAACTGTGTGTGTTGATCCTGGAAGAACCAGAAATTCTGTGAGGAAAATACTAGAGGATTGGATAATTTGTAAGAACATCTGCACCTTTTGGTATTTAGCTAAACCAAACCTCTGAACCTTCTGTGGTTTTCCCATCTCTAGTGATCATAAAACTATTATACGCTTTAGCAAGCTTTGGTACACAAATGGAAACACGAAGGGGCTTGCTTTCAGAAGTGGGTGCCCTATTTGCACATGAAGTTAATGTGATTGCATTCCCAATAGATTATTTACATGTTTAAATACATTTAAGTAGTCTTTGGCATGTACAAATTTCTAATTTGCACATGTAGTCACAGTCAGCACCCATGCAAAATAGGCACACAGTTGCACATATAATTTTGAAAATCAGGCCCTTAGTTATTCACAACTAAATAATATGGCATCTTTAAGAGGAAGCTTCCATGAGCTGTTTCAATCTATGATGAAAGTAAGTATATTCCACTGGTGAGTGTGTGTGACAGGTCCCACTTTGTGCCAATCCATAGACAACATGAATTGTTACAGCTCCCAACCAGAAAGCCAGTTGCTCAGACTTCTGTAATTTTCAATAAGGAACAGATCATTGCCTGGATCATCCTATGATGGAGAGAGCAAAACGGTGGCTTAATGCCACTTTTATATCTCCTCTCCCCATATCAAGTTGCACTGAATATGCCTGGGCCACAACATTTGATAGTACAGGATAAGAAAAAAATGTGTACTCTGAAGACAAGAGCAGTTGGTATTTTTCTTCACAGTTTTTTCTGAGAGTTCAGTACATTCTTATGATAAACCCCCAATTTTGTATGATCAACTAATATACAGATTTATCATCTCTTCCAGGGGATAGTATAGACTCTAGTAGATGATTTAACCAGGGGGTACTAGAACCCTTAGGTCAATGATGCAATATATAAATTGGGCAACAGAGAAAAAGCTACTTTCGAAATCTTTTCCTATCCTTAGCCAGTATGGCTGTGTCTAGACTGGCAAGTTTTTCCAGAAAATCAGCCGCTTTTCCGGAAAAACTTGCCAGCTGTCTACACTGACCACTTGAATTTCCGGAAAAGCACTGACGATCTCATGTAAGATCGTCAGTGCTTTTTTGGAAATACTATGCTGCTCCCATTTGGGCAAAAGTCTTTTTCCGAAAGACTTTTGCGCAAAAGGGCCAGTGTAGACAGCACAGTACTGTTTTCCACAAAAAAGCCCCGATCACAAAAATGGCAATCGGGGCTTTTTTGCGGAAAAGCGCGTCTAGATTGGCCACGGACGCTTTTCCGCAAAAAGGGCTTTTGCAGAAAAGCATCCTGCCAATGTAGACGTGCTTTTCCGAAAATGCTTTTAACGGAAAAGTTTTCCGTTAAAAGCATTTTCAGAAAATCATGCCAGTGTAGACGTAGCCTATATGTATAGATGAAAAGCTATACTTGCATCATATTCTATAGCCAGATTATCTACCAAAAGCTTTGAAACTTTCCATCAGAACTTCTGGACCTTCTAGAATCCCTATTGTACCTCAGTTCACAATTGGTGAATTGTCTAGTGGCTTTACCATTGAACATCACCATATTCAATGGAATGGAGAAAAATGGCAGAACACAGCACATAAGCAAGACTAGGGGTGTCACCTGCCTGGATTTAGATCAGTTAACTCTTATGAACTGGTTCCTCGATACCAGTTTCAGGAGTTTTGCCACTAACATAAACAGGATTAGGGCTTGGCTTCTGGGCTTTTCTCCTCAGTTTACCAGTAACGGCTATAAAGGCTTGGTATACAGTGCATGTATTACTTAATTGGGTTTAATTGTTCTTTTATCAGGGTAACATTCATTATAGATAACATGCTCTGTACAATGACACTAAGCAGATTTGTTTATTTAGCCAATTTATTTAAGAGATCTAATTATGATTATTTCTTTCTTAGATGCCTGGGCTTTCATTTGGTTTTATCAGGTTCACTCCTTTATTTTCTCTTCACATAAAAAAGGGTTTTAGTTCAAATACAATCTGCAGAAATTGATGAACAGTTCAGTAATTGTATTCTATATATTTATGCCTCATATTTCTCACGACCGTTTCACTGTTTGATAGATAATGAAAGTTAAATAATTGTAATGCTAGCGGGTGATCTTTTCATAGTTTAACTTCTCTTGCCTACAACTATGCTTTAAAAAAATGTGTTTCCTATTGGATTGGGGTAGTACTTGAGCTGTTCAACAGTTGTTGCCTTGCAGCTCTAGAAGTGATTACATTTCAATTATTAAAATAACTCTTCCATATAGTTTGAAAAACATTTACAGATTAAAGGGCCTATGTAAATGTAAGATCATTTCAACCATTAATCCTGTTCTTTTCCTAAAAATCAATGAGTCAAAATAAAATGACACACTTTTTAAAGTGGAATTATAAGTAGAATATGTCAGTGGTCCAAGGGCATTAGAGAGATTATGTAGGAGAGGAAATATCTTTTATTAGACCAACTCCCATTGCTGAGACACCAACTCAGTGTAGCTCAAAAGCTCATATCTTTCACAAGCAGAAGATGGTCCAATAAAAGATTTTGCCTCGCCCACCTAATCTCTGTGTAAAAATGGCCCTTTCTTATTTGATGTACCTGTGCACTCTGTGTTACTAAGACTAAAACACTACATAGGCATTCAGAAGATGTGTTCACAGACACAGACACCCCGTACTAAGACTAAAACACTACATAGGCATTCAGAAGATGTGGTCACATCCCAACTCAGACACAGACACCCCATCAGACTTTAGGTTGAATAGGCTCTCTCACAAGGCTTTTATTCCCCAAGGGGCTAAGGATGCAATACGTCCCGCAAAAGAAAAAAACTGTTTTATATTCCAAGAAAAGGAATACAAGTAATCAAGTCTGAATTACACCAGACTTCCGCAGTGCCTAGATATGCATGGAGTCTTCCCTCTGCCAGCTCTGCACTCCTGATATTTATTGAACCAACTTCTGTTGGTGAGAGAGACAAGCTTTCACTAACAGAAGCTGGTCTAATAATTGATACCACACCCAGCTTGGTTCTCTGATATCCTGTGACTAGCACAGCTACAGCAACTCTGCAAACACTCATGCCACACACATACTTTACGTCCTTTACAAAAGTCAGGGGTGCTCAGTGCTACCTGCTGCTCAGAGCTTCAGTTCAGAGTGTATTTCTGATTCCTTCCTTGATTGGCATTGCAAAACTCTGCTATCCTATCTTTCCCCTCTACCTAGTGACTTCAGTGTTCTTATGTCACATCACACCAAAGTGTAACATCACCACAACATGCTCACCCACACCTTTGTGGTGACCTTTTTTAACGTACATATATGCAGTTGTTCTTATGAATCTTCCCACCTGTGTACCTATTTGTTCTTGCTGCTTCTGTGCCTTCCAAGTTCAATCTCCTTAAAAACCTATGTGAGAATAACAGTATTTAGTGTCCAGAGGGTCCTTGCAGCTTGTCAGGACGATGACGATGATGATGATGGAGGGCATATTCCAAGCAAACTAGAAATATTACTTAGGTAATAACCTAATCTGCTGGGCTATGTTGGATTTTTAATAATGACTTCAGGGGCAGTAGAGTTAGGTCAACAGTGAGGGCTTTTGAACAACCTATCCTAAACTATATGGAGCACACTGTTTTTGGAAATGTTTCAATCTTTCCAGATCCATATGACTAAAATGCAAAAGAAGCTAATAAATTAGTTTCACTTTCTTCTCACAAATTAAATGGTCTATGGTTCATTTTACTCTGTTAATCAAATTATACTGTAGCACAGAATCATGGAGACCAGATGACTTAGATCTACAGTGCCATATTATGATCTCACTTATATCTTTGTATAACCTGAGTAACTTCAGTACTGTTAATGAAATTATTACAGATTTA